TAGCCACAAAGGGCGTGAAAGTTACCAAAATATTCCGGTGTAAAAGCACTATAGAATGCCGGAAGATGTCTTCTTTAGATTAGAATTCCTCGCTCTATCAGGCTATATGGTTTGTAACATTTTCTGACCAAAAACTAAGAACTGGGTTTTTCAGCAGTCAGATTTTCTAGAAGCTCTATTATCAGCTTTTCTCATGAAAGGAGTGATATACACCTCATCTGATAGAAAAATCTTCGGGCTATTCAAAACATTCTTCAGATTGGTTCTAGCTTTTACTAAAAAGGCAAAAACAACGGAGTTCTTGTGATTATGACACACTATAGTGCTTAGATAACACCCAAAAGCTTCTTTTCCATATCTTTAATGATTGGCCTCACCTGTCTGGATATTGTGACCAGCTCACTTTGTAGAGAATTTCAAGGGTTATCCAATAGTATGTTTTCGACCAATACATAATTTTTCTTTATGGGTGAAAGACGACTAACGGAGTGTTCAAAGCACTAAGATAGATGAAAATCATTATACCAGTCAAGTATTTCAACTGTTGACCAATGTGGGCATATGTTTGATTTCATCGCGACCGCGCTGCGAATGACGCGTAATAGTAGACCTGGAGTAATTAGCATTTATTTTTTTACCTACGCATCGGAGATAATAGATTCACAAGTAAGATAATCTTGGAAATTTGAATTTTACATAGGAAGTCGACATTAGCGACGGTTTAAAGCGATTATTTGCTGATAAATGAAAAAACTAAAATTTGCGATGAAAATACGCCAGTTTACGGTGCCCGTATACGTTATCCCATTTATTTTTTGGGGAAATGTAAACTAACGTATACCACACATAATCTAGACGATGTTTCACTTGCTCTTGTTTTAAAAGTAGTTGTATTTTACGTTAAACAAACTAACAGATTTGATGATTAGCTAGTAGAACGTTAATAAGTTTTAATGAAATTTAAATTAGTCCACGCCACGTTTCTCCGTCTAGTCTATGTTATTTTCGCTTTTCTCGACGTCTTTAACTTTTTTTATATATTATGTCACTGTACATCCTCCACCTGTTACACTTTATCACTTAATGCAGCCTATATTATGCATGGCCTAAAATGGTTCGCCGCTGGCCTTATTATTTACATAATAAAGATATAAATTAACGTATACCACTGTCGTAATTTCATAGTTTTTCATCGTTTATATATCATCCTATCCATGCATGTTTTACTTTTCGTCGTATTTCGACGTATACTATAGTGTAAGGTCGAAAAATTGACCTTATAGCAGTAAATCATGAGATATGGTTGTGACGCCTGTACTTTCGGTTCGGTGGTGTAGCGGTTATCACGTCTGCTTTACACGCAGAAGGCCGCGAGTTCGAACCTCGCTCGAACCTTTCCTTTTTGTTCTTCAGTCAATTTAAGTGACATAAAATGTATCATGTATCTTGTCCTAGCATATTTTTAGTTTTCGTGGCTTCGAGTAATTATTCTTGTCAGACGCAAGTGTTTGTGTGTTTCGTCATCATTTGCTGTTGGTATGCTGACGGACGCTAAATGACTGATCGTTTCTATAACAGATTATGCACTTTTCATATATATTGGGTAAAATGAAATTCGTTCTGTGAGTCTATTAAATTAAATAAAGTTTATAATCAAAGAATTTTTGACGTTTTTGGTTTCTTCTGGAAAGCAGTAATTTTCGAGATAAATCAATTTTGCCGAAATGGTGACAAACTAAACAAGGATCCACCGCTATCATCAGCAGCAAGTACAAGAATACATAAAAATTCAAGCGAAGTTAATGAACAAAATTCAACAAATGTTAGCACCAATAATCAAATTCGTTGCATCGATATATTAATGATTCACTATGGAATAATAATGAGAATCATCAACGTTCAACAACTGTAATAACACCGTAGTTGTTTGCTCCTTTAAATGCATTAGCATTTGAATTAGAAGCGTTTCGTCAACGAGCCAGCATTTTTTTGACTTATGTCTACGTCTTTCTTAAATAACTATATTAGAAATTCAATTTTTTCTTCTTTTAATAAAATTTCCATTAGAATTTTCATTGAAATAGGAAACTAGTGAACATACGCACGATGTATCTGCTGTTAACGGCAGTGATTTTAATAATCACGATCGAATAATCGTCGGTAGTTAATAAACCTCGACAATCACACGGATTTCTCATTCTAAGTATTTATCAACTTTAGGGAGAGGATGAGAAGGACTTCAAGTTGAAATGAATTAAACAACAAGAAGTTTCTTACCCAGTGCTCTATGAGTCATACGTTTAATGTTTTATTAATCTGTTCAGTTTTATTATGGTAAAATTTAATAATTTCATCTCGTCCTCCTTCTGTTCTCATTGAAATATTTAATGCATAATTATAGTTAAATTTTGCATCTTCATAATATTCAATAGCATGTTGATTATCTTCTTCTTTGTTTGTATCATTAGCCAATGTATCACCCTGTTTTACTCTATGATTGGCAATTTTTTCAAGAGTATCTTGAATTAATCTGTTAACTATTAATCTGTTCAACTTGTCTACAATAAATTTCATCAGTTTCTACTAAAATATCATTATTATCTCTTGCATATTGATAACACTGAATAGCACGTTAATAATAATAAATTATTTTATCTTTTTCATCGTCACTAGCCAATGTTTTATATTTATCACCAGGTTTTATACAGGAATTGACAAAGTTTTCTTAAATATTTTTATTTATATGTTCAATATTTTTATGATGAATACTTTCATCTGACCATTCATCATCTTCTTTCTTCATCAAAATATTTAATTCCCACTCATAATACTTTTTGGCATTTTTATAACATTCAGTAGCTTCACGTCGATACTCCAAGAACGTTTGATCATCTTCATCTTCATTAGCCAATTTAACGTAATAATCACCATAGTTTGAACTATAACTGGCACATTTTTGACAACTAGCTACAATCGATAAAATATATTTTGATAAACTCTTCTTTAATAATTTTGTTTCGTTATATATTTGAATGAATGGTGATTTTGGTGAATGTATTATATCAATAATTTTAATTGGTAACATTTGCTCTTTAAACTCTCTTATTTCATTCCAATATAAAATAGCTGCTTCATAATCACCAGCTTTTGTTAATTCATGCCCAATGCAGTTTCGATGATCGGAAGATGGTTGGATATAAGAATCTTTATTTTCTTCTTCCAGGTATATCCGATACAACAGATCATTATACTTCTTGCTTATTTCATCTTCAACTACTAACTGATAATTAATCTATAAATAAGCACACGATCTGATACTGGTATTTGATGTTTATCAATTCTCATGTTTTCAATCATTTCTCTACGATATTCATTAATGTGCTTGTCATCAACTCCATTAGATATAGAGCCGGATGGCAAAAATGACTGATAAAATGAGAGATGGTTTTTAATAGAAAGAGAAGAAGAATTCCTATTGTTCTGACTATCATCATCAATTTCAGTAGGTTTTAAATAAATGTTTAATAGAATGTAATTGATTAATGCTTCGATAATTTGATTTCCTGCGCTTCCATTTAACAATTGTAGACCATCGGCATAGTTTTTAATTGCCGTTTCTAAATTATTATTTAATCTATGAACATTTGCAATTTTTTAATAAATTAAGAAAGTTAAGTTTTCATCCTGATGCATAATTATTTTTAAATACAAAACAATTGCTTTATCATACATAGTAATACATTCGCGTAATTCTCTTTTTCTAGCATCATTATCAGTTGATTGTTTTTTGACATATATTTTGTCAAAGCCTAGTCATTCCTAAATCCTAATCCCGTGTCCTTGACTACGACTGACAATATAAGTGTAGAGCATAAACACTAAGTAAAATATATTTAAATTTTAAAAACTACGCCACACATACACACTGCTGTCGTCCACTGTGCATATATATATAAAAAAGTCAGAGAGAGAAAAAGGACGGACTATGATAAAAATATATGAGTGACAAAGGAAATGTACATATGCGTGAAAAGTGAATGAGAAAAAGAAATGTGTATGGAGTGAAATGTGTTTGAAGAGAAAAGAAGAAAGAAACTAAGAATCGTGCACTACGATCTGTCCAGGTCGTAGCACCCTTCCCCTCCGAACAGGATGCATCATCAATCCGCAAAAAGTGTCAGCAAATAGAATTAAAAAAATGAGAGAGGAAAGTGAAGTGAGTAAATAAACAAAGGGAACGAAGACGAAAGAGAGGTGTTAGGAATAAAGCAATAATAACATATAATGAAAAAAGAGACTGTTCAAAAAACAAGTAATCAAAGCTAAATAGAGGGAAACAATGAAATTCCAAAGCAAAGAACAACAATAACCGAGTTAAATAAAACAAACGAAGGAAAACGTGGACACAAAACAAAACAGAGAGAAAATACATATATATCTGAAAAGATGCGCACAGTCAAAACTGAATGAATGAACCGGGAATAAAAAACTGCTGCTCGCACACACACGCCAACGAATGAAAATACGGACAAAAGCTACTGTATCACATCAACAATCAATACGCAATAAAAATAATCAAAGAAACAACAGCAAAGCCAGAATTGAACTAAATGAACAAAACGACCAAAAATAACAAAGAAAACGATGATCAATGAAATGACAAAAATGCAAGGAGCAAAATATAAAATCAAAAAAAAACTTATAAACGCCTATAATCTCTTAGATAATTATCAGGAATCATTTGACGAAAAAATGATCGATGTTGCGGTCTTTTGAAACCAATAACTATATAATTGTGACGAATTTTATCATTTTTAACACGTAAAAATTGAAGTCCACGGCGTTTAAAATGGTCACGTATAGCCGGTAATGGAAATTGTGGATGTTTATATAGTGTAATATAATGAATATATCTTGTTTTTCATCGTCGAATATTACGTTTTTTATTTTGATTATATTTAGAAGAATTTGTTGGATGAACAATAGTTGATGAGGTAGAAGGTTGTAGTGGTTCAATATAATTTGATGGCAAAACGACTGTAAATAGTGGTTGAGGCGAGGTCGGCGTTTGGTGGTCAATGATAGATGATGAAGGTGGAGTAGACGGTAAAATGACGGTAAATGATGGTGATGTAGTTGCTGGATCAGACGTTATTGGAATTAATTCTTGATCGACCGGTATGACTGAATATGATTGTGGAACGATGATAGAAGATGAAGTCAAAGGTGCTGTTGATGGAAGAGATGTATTACTAATAATTGAAGACAGATGAGTAACGGCAAAACAATCATTTATGGAGTATAACACCATATGTCGTCGTCGTTGTATGTTGTTATCGTCTAATTCATCACCATGAAGATTGTCATTAACATATGTTTGAAGTCTTCTCTCTAGCTCTGCCGCCCATTTTGAACGTGTTAACGACTTGTCTAAAAACAAAGATAAAGATGTTGAGACTGCTGTTTGGAGACTTACTTTGTCAAATTCAATTTGTGGTGGAGCATGAATCTCTAATATATCATGTTGTTGCGAATCCGTTTGCGAGTCCCTGCCTTGCGGCGGAACCGAAGGATTACTAAATGACAAATATTCGTTTTGGGTGTTCTCGGAAGGTCGGTGAAGTTGAGCTTCGGTAAACATTTTGTATTTTAAGTATGTTGACAGTTCTATCATTGAATTTCCCCAACCACGAATAATCTTCGATTTATCGTTTAAAATATTTTGCCAGATGGATTTAATTATAGCAAATTTGGGTGAATCTTCACGCGGTAAATAATAACATTCGAATAATCCAAGGAAGCTGAACTTTGGGGATATAATAATTTCAGTTTGAATTAATGCTGGTGATGTGTCATGTTTGTGAGTATTTTTATTAAATATTAATATTCCTTCGGTATCAATTGTAAATGAAGATGCTGTGGATGATGCTTGTAGTAATTGTTGAAGTTGATAATCATATGTTCTGTAATCCACAAAAATGATTTGATATTCCCATGGTTTTTTAACCAATGGTGATAATGATGTGCGCAGTTGTTGATTGTAATTGTGTAATCTTGTAGCTCGTCGCCATTCTTTTGCTTGTTTCGATGTTAATCCTGATGGTTGAATTGTACGATCTTCTAACTCATTGAAACACTGTGTCAGTCGAAAAAATGGCTCCATCTTTAATGGTATTCACATAAATCGCGTGTTTCTAATAGACAACGTCTTTCGGATAACTATCTTAAGACTAATAAATATCTGCTACTAGTTGTTGATTGGTTTTTCAACATATTCTTCTTTCATCGAAGAAGTGTTTAATAATGCGATACGAAACTCTACTAATGAAATTTCTACTAAACCACTTCGCCGGTTCCGTATACTCTGTACAAAACCTTGTAGAAAAAAATTTTCTTTTAAATATTTTAATTAATATTTAAATATTTTCATGCGTCCAGATTTTCAGAAGTTATGTTTTGGTGCTGATAACGAATCTGAATGTCATAAGCAAAAGACAATAGAAAGTTAGAGTTCTTAGCGACATAAGATGTATGATACTTCAGCTCTTCGAAACATCTACGCATGAAAATATTTATATGTAGATATCTCGTCGTACTCTACAATCTTTTTATATTTCGATATATCAGATAGAAAGGATAGAGTATATCTCTAAAAAGAGCAGTTCTCAGAAGTTCTTCAAACACTGATGACATTCAGATTCGTTATCAGCACCAAAACATAACTTCTGAAAATCTACGATTTATTATATTGAGATGAATGGTTGAAACAGTTTCCCAGTAAAAAATACGTTGCTTCTCTGTTCTTATTGATCGAGTACTTTTTTAGCACGCTTCTTACGAGGAAACCTCCCCAAATGTCAGTACTGGGCGAGTCCGAGTCACGACTCGAGTCGCATTTTTTTAATGACTCTGACTTGACTCTGACTCGAAAATTGGAAGACGTTGACTCGACTGTTTGACTCGAGTCATTCATTCGAAAAAAATTCTATTCATTGACTGCTTTGCATACATTTCCTCTTGTATAAATTTGGGTTATTTCTGAATACTCTTTCTTATTCTATTTTATTGTTACGTTTCAACATCACAGACGCCTTGACAAAAGTAGAATAAATGTGAAGAACATATAATTAATTAGAGTATATATATATGTAAAATTAAGAAATAGATAACGAATACCGAAAAGTTGTAGTTAACGTTCTCTATAAAAATAAATAGTAATCGGAAAAAAATAGAAAAATAATATTGACTCGACTCGACTCGACTCGGAAAAAAAGCTTGACTCGCCCAGCACTGCCAAATGTAACACTCCGATTCTAATGATTTATGTGCCAGTCGGTAGAGGATAGTGCGCTTGAGAAAGAACAGTAGGAAAGTAAAACCTTTCCTTTTTCAAAAGAAAGGAAAGTCAATTTTTACTTTTCTGTTTTTTGGGAAAGGAACGGGAAAATGCTACTCCTAATTTGGGCTCATGGCACAGTTATGAACTTTTTTTGTTTACTTGTGCAAGGAAACCTATTAATACTAAAAATTCCGTAACTCAATCAAAAGTGTAAATTAAGAGATGAACGTTTTTTCATCATTGTGCAAAATATCAATTATTACCACAGGAAGTTTCTCTCTGGAGAACAAAACCGCATTTCGTAAGTGGAAGGACTCTGTACGGCGGGAGGGAGACAACGGTCTTCCTGATGACGCTGTTCATCAGGATGACCGACCAGCATCCCACCGCAAGTCTGAACGGTCCTAAAGGAAAACTCAAAAGAGTCTCTAGTGCAATCAACGACTATGAACGCAAACGTCTATTAGACTTCAATGCCATTTGTCTTATATTTCCATAAAAATCACATTCCTTTATGCCTTACCATCTTTGTCGCTTCAGAAAACATATGGGTTTTCCTTAAGTAGAAAAATTCAGTAACTTAGCAAGTACTAGAGTTAGAAGGGTGAAACTTTCTGTGATAACGATAGATATCTGGCGTAATAATGGAAAAATATTTCAGCTCTTTTTTCGCTGTTTTGACCAAGTTATGGAATTTTTAGTATTAGTAGGTTCCCTTGCACAGGCAAACAAAAAAGGTCATAACTTTGAAAGAAGTACCGTGAGCCCAAATCCGTTTAGAGCTTTTACTAGCTCACTATGCTCTATCAATTGGTCCATAAATCACTGGAATCGAAGTGTTACACCTGTAGAGGTTCTCTCGTTACGATGAAATGAGCATAGTTATGTCTTTTTCAAGCATAGACACTGGCTAAATAAATCCAGAAAAATTTAGATTAACTTTACTTTGGTGTATCTTTTTCTCGAATGAAAAGCGTTTTGTATGATAGTACTTTTGTTTCTTGATTTTAAATTTTCGGAAATAAAGAGATAAGAACATATTAAACCACCCTTAGTCGATGTCCAAACCAATCAGAAACAAGCAGATTTTCCTTGATCACTAAGTCTCTAGACTACTCATATCTCGACAGTATAAGAATATTATAACTGTTTCTGCCATGATTGCAATAGTTGATTAATATATATTCTGGTAATTAACTGTATGTGTCTATAATCGATTTTTTAATTTAATAAACAAATAGATTTTTCCTTATTATTACACTTTGTTGCGTCTGTTTCAGGAACTAATGAGTCCAAATTGTTGTGAAACATCTTCATCCAAGACGACATCGACTGGTAGTGGTAATATCTCTTCGTCAACTCTTTCGTCGTCACCGTCAACAATATTGTATCCACTAGCACAAGCTAATCATCACATAACATGTGTCATTATCGATGATAGTCAAATTGGAAAATCAAGTCTAGTTGTCTCTTATACAACAAATGATTTTCCATCTACCTATATACCAACAGCATTCGATAATTATTCGGTAGATATTTCAGTGGGAAATAGATTAGTCCATTTTGATACATGTGATACAGGAGGAAAGGTATGTATTTGACTATGATTTATGTCATCGATTATTTTTAATTGATTTTTTTGTTTGTTTTAGGAGCCATTTTCATCATTACACGATTTATGTATTCCATATTCTGCTATTATATTACTTTGTTTTTCTGTTGTTCAACCACAATCATTTCAAAATGCTATTACCTATTGGTTATCACGTGCACGTCGATCAAATTCAAAGACATCCGTTATTCTTGTTGGAACACAAAGTGATCTTGTTCATGATTTAAAAACTCTTTTAAAACTTGATCAATTGAAACAAAAACCTATTACGGAAAAAGAAGCTCGTGGACGTGCGCAACAAATGGATGCTACAACATATATGGAATGTTCAGCTTTAACACAAAAAAATTTAAAAACTATATTTGATACTGCTGTTTTAGCAGCTATCGATTATCACAATTCAAATTCAGAGGATTTTAGGTTTCAAAAGTTAAAACTTAAAAATCTTTAAGGTCTTCTGACAAAAACGTGTCTCCGCCACTAAAAGTCCAATCTGGAGCAAATTTTCAGGGAATGTTGTCCATGTCATAGTGTGTGATGAAATTTGTTTTCGACTTCATCTATCCCTGTTCGCCAAATGTCACCACATTAACGGACAAAAGGTAGGAATTTTTGCTTCTAAAAATTTTCTTTCCAGGTAGACATTAAACAAACTTCAAGTCACATTCTTCGTATAGTACAATTATTCGACTAAAATACCTTTTCTTACTTTGTATCATTTAGTCTATTTATGACTTTTTGTTGATTAAACTAAAAGCTTGTTAGTGAGATGGTAATGATGTGAATTGCGACATTCATATGTGTTGACAACGATGCATATAATGAGCTTAGTTTATTATTTATGGTTTTAATCACAGTATTTATTGATTCGGCAACTTTTTGAATTGAATTAATCCGTACCGCATGCACACCACTGCCACTACTCTCATCGACTTTCTTCTAATCATAATTCATAAATATTTTATTATTTTATTTTATTAAACTTCAGTCACAGAGTTACCAAAATTTCCTCAGCAAAAACTTTCTTCACAATAAAAGTTAGTGGGTTAGATAGCCCGTCAAAAGTTGTCTAAATCATCACTTCGTCAGCAGATACCATACTAAATAGCTTCGACGCAAATTTAAGAAAAGGTCTTTTGATAACGGCGTGGCATCATGAATTATCAACTATTGTTTCGATTACTATCTGAAAAGGAAGAACGGAAAAAAGATTTTTAACCGCTAACATAAACTTACAAAAGTAGCTCGCTGCAGATGCTTTGTACGCCATGTCTGCAAGCGATTATTGAATGTCTTATAACCATAGTTTATAGGCGACTAAAGAATATGTTTCTATATACTATCGACTACGCTCTACAAAATGGTATAAGCCGTTTTGTCCGAATCTGGTTTTAAATCTTGATCATTGAAGTATCGCGTTACTTGTCCTGGTCGTGAAGTATCTGTGGTAAAAATTTGAGCGCGATCGGCTTTGAAGGAAAAGTTCCATAACTTTTTCAAGGAAGGTCGCGGAGAGCTGGGAGTGGTCTCACTTTATAGCCCAGACTTTCTTCTACATTCGGCCACGTTCACGTAAAAATGAAAGATTTTTTGCAAAAAAATGGAGGGTTCTATCCTTAATGGTACAGGAAAGAAAGAAAAAAACAACAGACGGCAGAATTGTGGCAATACCTTCTTGTTGACACAGTTTTCGATTAATCTCCGTCGTCGAGCTCTTTTTACTTTTGTTTGGATCATCCCGCTATTCTTTTATTTTACTACTCGACAGCAAGAACGAGTTTGGATCCCTTTTGTCTTTTATTTAAAGCGTGTTCACGGCTGTCATTATTTAAGTACGATCGACTATTTTTCGATATCGGAAGAGAACTTTTATAGACCGAGGTTTTCCGCACTAGATAAAATATTTACTAGTGCTGCCTGACGTGACTGACTCGGTGGCACCAATTCGAACAAGTACAAAACATTTTTAGGTACCAGTACCACTAATCATTAAAAACATCTATTAATACGTCGATATCGTCAACAAAAGATATAACTTCGACACTTGTTTCAGTGGTATTATTAAAAACTCTATTTAAAATAAGTTAGCTTCTAGTACTGTAGTTGCTGTTTCGTACTTTAGAACCAGAAATTACATCATCAGTAACAAAGCTGATTCAACAATCCCTTGATTGACCTGAATTTCCTGGTTGTTGAAAACATGGTTTAATCCACTCACTTTCTATGTCGACAACGCAGAAAAATTACACTTTCTGGAAAATACCATCTTTTTTCTTTCTAAACTAAGTCTTCACAGTATTTATTGATTCAGCAACTTTTTGAATTGAATTAATCCCTACCGGAAGTACACCACTGCCACTACTCTCATCGACTTTCTTCTAGTCATAATTCATAAATTATTCTATTGATGATAAAATATATTGTATGTAATTAGTGAATAATTCGAGAGTAGCGTTGAGTGCACAACAAAAACCGATTTGTAATATCTAATGATCTCTTTGGATGTGCTGTCTATTTTGTTGCCTTGCTTTTATAGCCACCCTTTCCGAGATGTGTCACATAATTCACAGCTTTCACGACTAGAGGTGGTACAGTACTGTTACTATTACCAGTAATACAAATATTGTATATATTCCTATTACTAATAACAGTAATACTCTCACAATGGAAGGTCGTGTATTGTAAGTGAAAATCAGTATTACTGTTATTAGTAATAGGAATATATACAATATTTGTATTACTGGTAATAGTAACAGTACTGTACCACCTCTAGTCGTGAAAGCTGTGAATTATGTGACACATCTCGGAAAGGGTGGCTATAAAAGCAAGGCAACAAAATAGACAGCACATCCAAAGAGATCATTAGATATTACAAATCGGTTTTTGTTGTGCACTCAACGCTACTCTCGAATTATTCACTAATTACATACAATATATTTTATCATCAATAGAATAATTTATGAATTATGACTAGAAGAAAGTCGATGAGAGTAGTGGCAGTGGTGTACTTCCGGTAGGGATTAATTCAATTCAAAAAGTTGCTGAATCAATAAATACTGTGATTAAAACCATAAATAATAAATTAAGCTCATTATATGCATCGTTGTCAACACATATGAATGTCGCAATTCACATCATTACCATCTCACTAACAAGCTTTTAGTTTAATCAACAAAAAGTCATAAATAGACTAAATGATACAAAGTAAGAACACAAATTTTGATAAAATTTAATTCTGATCGTGCTTTAATACATTGGTCGGAGTATGGTGGAAGGGTAATTTGAACAATTAAAAATACAGGAAAGCGAATATCAGGAGGTTCGATGAACGGTGGATATACTATTACCTTGTGATATTTGTTAACCAGAATAACACGTTGTTGTGGAGAATCAATAATAACGCTGTTTTGTTTTATCCAATCAGTTCGAAGTAATAAATCTGTAACGAGAGTTGTCGCGACATCGGCGACTATCCATGTTTTGTGTCCGTGTATTTTGATCTCATTTTGATCATAAATTTCTTATGATGAACCTTCTTCAGTAATTGTTGGTGGATGATGGTGACAGCGGATCCCGTATCGATTATAGCCTGTTGGGGTGTTTGATTTACTTGGACTTTGATGTAAATGGGACTCGATGATTTGTGGGATGTTATTGATGGATTTTGTATACTGGGATGGCCACCATCACGGATTCCAGTTAGTCAAATACCTGTGGACAATCGCGTACTCGATGGCCGGAATGTCCACAATTGTAACATCCCATTCAATTTTTTGTAATAGCAATCAATTGTACGATAGTTGATTCGATGAGAGATGGAGCAGGGATCATACTGACGTGTATGTTGATACAATGTGTCGGATGATGGATCATTTGTGCGTTGTGATTGTCGTATATTATTAAACGAAAATGAAGATCGGGGTCGTACTATCGAAGAGCGTTGTGAGTTCACCGAGTTATAGGGTAGGGGGTAATAGTATATGCACCGTTCGTCGAACCTCCTGATATTCGCTTTCCTGTATTTTTAATTGTTCAAATTACCCTTCCACCATACTCCGAACAATGTATTGATGTAACAGTCCCGTCGCTTTTCGGTAATGTTAACAATGTTATGTTCGAATCGACATTCCACTTATACTCCAAATCAATATTAGCAGCGAATGCATTGATTGAGGCTGAGCATCACAAAACATGGATTATAGTCATTGACGCCTCTGATCGTCAACGTACATTATCCAATTAGGTTAGGTGCAATATCACATTAACCGGAATCAGATATCTGTCTCACGACACCAATGACATCGAATAAAAGAAATGCCCGATTATCGGATCGATCCTGTGTTCAGTCATCATTCACCCACGGGGAGGAATGACCATAATTTAATGAGTCGTTCCTGTGACGCTCCATTTTCGGAGGAAAGCAAAGTTCGTCCGGTGGATTTTTCCTGCAAGGTAAAACAAGATAATTACCGTGAACATCGATGTTATGTTTGAGTCTATTTTTCTTTCAGATATTTAATATTTCTCGATCTTCTCAACATTCTAACTCATATATGTCTTCTTATTCAAAAAAATCATCATATTATGTAACACCATTACACAAATTAGATAAATTAACACAAAGCTATAAATCAAAAAAAGTTATTGAAAATGATAACTATAAACAATTATATCGCACGGGTGAATGTATACCATTTCAACAACCATCGTCGTACCATTGTCATTATATACATCATCGAACATCAATTGAAATATTAGATAAACTAATTGATGGTGCTCATCAAACAACACATTATATAATTGACACAAAATCAACTCCGTCCATCACCTCAACCATCGCAACCTGCACTCATATGTACGTCATATAGTCATGTGGCAGTGTGACGGTGGTACATGCATATAGCGACTAGTGAGTGTGACGGTCGTACATAGAACGCTTTTACACCAAACTGCAGTCGATTTACGAATGCCACAAAGGAGCTGAAATTACCAAAATATTCCCGTGAAAAAGTATTATACATAGCCGGAGGAAATGAAGGTTTCATTTCTTGTTCTGAGGGAGGAGATGGGTTTCCAAGCGAACGATGTCGAATTCAGAGCGCTCGAGAGTTCGATGAGGAGGCGAACACTTTCCGCGGATGTGAAACCTTGAAATACACATCTCTATATGTGCACTTTTATCCGTTGATTTCGAAAAACACGTTCCAAAGGTTGCAGGACCTTATGGAGCTTAGATACTATAAAGTTTTCGAAAAGTTGTGATTTTTCGAAAGAACAACAGCTTTCCATTTTTTAATTTTCTTCCGCCAAAAACGTGCACTGATAATCTTTTAAATAAGATATTCGTAATCAGCGTATAATTCTGCGTTGAATGACATATATTTGAGCCACACAAAGAATGTGGCTTAAACTTTGAATTTGGAGCGCCTTAATAGAAGTGATTGTGTCTTTTTGCTGCTACTTATATATTGAATGAAATGCGGCTACTTTAGAGATTTATTTTATTTAGGTAGCAGTTGCAAGAAAAGTCTGAAGTTCGTACAAGGTAATAAACTATCCCATTACTTTGGGTGCTAACTATAAAGTAAAGAACGTTACAACACAAAACGCCAGTTTACTCAAATTTGGACTTCGTAGGCGAAGTAAGCAATGCCGCATACATTTGTTCCTCTTGCAATACGACCATAGCCACCTTCTCCCCATACCGTAGACCAGCTATTTTTTACTTTCCAATAATTCAATTGCAATGTAGAATCATAACCATAGCCAACAAGTGCCACAGCATGATCTAACTTATGTGGGTCACAGTCTTGTGCCGACAAGTTAACAACTCCAGTTTTATAATTTTGAAACACTGATGCGTCTGCATTAATAGTCACCCATACTGGTCCTCGAGTAACAGCTTGCAAGAGGGCAGTTTCATCACCAGATGGTACATTCGTGTAACCAATATTAGGTCCGATTATTTGTCGCGAAAAGCAGCTGGCTTGGCAATCTTGCTGAACGACTGCGTAAGTATAATCCTCCCAAAGAGCTTGAATTCCATTGTTCGAAATCAAATATTGCATTGCACGGTCGAACAAACCGCCGCTGCAACCACCACTATCTAAAAGGAGAAAGAGAAAAAAAGACTTGGCAGAATAACAACTGTAGGAAAAACACAATCAACGCCATGAAATCACGATCGGATGGAATCAGAGAAGTTCACAACATTTCTGAGCTATCCTGGCGGCGAACCCCGACTGAAACGAGGCGTGAGCATTGTCCTGACTTTAGCAATATTTGTAGACCGTTGGAGGGTCTCGAGAATTTTTTCTATTTCCTGGCATTTTCAGCGAAGCTTACAGCGCATATCGTAAGGCCGTTAGTAACTGGAGAAGCAGGAGAACTGGAAAGAGGCTTACCGCATTTTTCTTCTACTCTTCTTTCAATGCGGGATTATAAGCGGGTAGCTTCCCAAAGAAAATTCTTTCTGACCTTACTTGCACAATCAACTAGTTCTTGTGCACTTAAATTCCGCAACAACCCCGTTTTCTTTGCCAGCAGTCCCTCCACAACTGCCGTGGTAGCAAACGCCCAACAATCACCGCAAACACCCTGATCTTTTGGTGGAGTTACACGACCCATAGCCACCCAATCCAATGAAGTCGGAGCCGTAACATTTTGCGATTCCATGAAGACTGAACGGCGGTTTCGAGTTTGATTTCTAGGATTGTATAGATTTCTAGGGTTGTATATTAAACCTAAAAAAGAGAACCAAGAAGAACGTTATTGCAAGTACCTAATAGTCTTGGACTACTGACCTTTTTTCTGTTGATTAAATTCTTGTTCAGTCAAATCTGAAAACTGATTTAATTCCAACTTATGTGACAGGTTTTGAGAATTAACACTTAAAACATGTTGAATATGCTCACTGAAAACCTGTCGTCGACGATCTTCTTCACTCGAGTTATCATAACGGCGGCCGTGTTTGTGTTTAAATTTTTCGAAAACAAGTTTTACAAGTGTTTCATTTTTATGAAGATTTTGTGCTCGTGTTGCAGAGTTGTTAACCAAGCTTAACGCATAGTCTTCGAGGGACTGGGGAGTGAGCCGTTTAGTTCGGTCAAAATGAAGGTCTGAATGTTCGCCGCCTTTGATTAAATCTTGGAAGGAATTAACATGGTAAGCGCTGATAAAAAGAATTATAGAAACAAAGAAATGATGTCATCTAAAATACATAAAAGGTCATCGATTGAAAATAAAAAACATTCGACCTGGCACGGTAAGATCACATTTAACGGTTAAACAAGGAAACATAGGAAAGGTTATAAAAGCTCAGAAAATCTCTTAAAGCTAAAAACCTGAAAACGATATAGCTGGTGCATCAATTACACAAGGCAGTTATACAGCTTGTTGTAATTTATGTGCTAATAATGTTGGCTGTAAGGCTTTCACGTGGAACAAAAGCAACACCATGTGCTATCCCAAATCGTCCATTGGTGATGGTGGAGCCTCGATTTCTGTTGGACAAACTGGTACCTGGGCAAGTTAGATGACAGAAATTAAACGAGGACGCACAATTTTACCAAAACCAGAAACACTACCTTTTTTGCGTATTAACGTTGTATTGTTTCGTTTTCTTAAGCACTTTTGAAACGCAAATTATTATTATTACATCAAGCACTTCGTTTGTTTTAGTGCCTAAAATGGTTCTCATTTCTTAGTGGTAGTGGTTTGTTTCTGTTTTAAGGTAGCCCCTCCGGTGTCACTGCTGAGTAAGACATATTGGGCAAAATAAGAAACAGAGATTTTCTACTTTCGAGTAATTCGTGCCCCACGCCTGAATATGAATTGTATCGATTCCAGAGCAAGCGTCATCTTAATAGCTGGTAACTAGGGAGACACTTTCTAGCGAACAATTTGTAATGTATACTAAATTTAAGGGAATAAGCGAATAATCCTGTCCAGCCGTTCTAAATGCCTATTTCCAGCTTTATGCGCCAATACGTGCTTGAATGGTGAAACTTGCTCATCTCCCAATACCTGCTTGTGTGCAAAGGGCTCTTCGGGTCCGATATGTGGCCTCCACAAATAATAATTTATTTACTTTGATGACAAGGCGTGCGCTCAAAGTTTCACGTGACCGCAGTTTCGAAAGTCGGGTTGGGATGAATCAGAGCTGTGTAGATGATAGCAACGCATGGAAAAAAATTACCTACTGGAAAGGGCGCATTTTTACAGACTTACCCTTGAAAAACGTTTGTTTTCTCATCTCAATCCACATTTTTTCCTGATTTTTTGATTTTCTTTAAAAAGTTTTACGTTACTTTTTATTTTATATTGGAGTTTTCTCATTGAACGTATCTTTATGTTTTTTGTGATGTCACATGCAAATTATCCTCTCCTTTCTGTATGTATCCTTATGTCTGCCATACAAATGTCTGCATGCGACATCAAGAAACTGATAAAGATACGCTAAAGGACAACACTATTCTTTTGTCCTGTTCTGATGTGATTTTTCCGATGAACTGAAATATTCTTCCTGTTTTCTACCTAGCGACTGTGTTTCTAAACCTTTTATGTTTCCCATACATCATTGAAAGACATGAACAAAAATGGATTGAGTAGACTGATATACGACAAAACCGCCCAAGAAAAGCACCAGACAACTTCACCATATAGTCCAGCTCATCTGCCGTATATTCTCGATTTCAACAAAAGTGTGTAAAATGAGTAGAAAGCACTTTGACTGCTGCAAGGCTTTCGAGAGATCGTTGCAAGTAAGGCAATGTTTTTAGTTTTTCTAATCTTAACTCGAGAATCATGTTGAGCAGAAAAATTAAGTATATATTGAAAAATTAGAGAAGTTTCAGTGAAGGCTCATACGACACTTTTAAAGTAGTCACACATATAAAGGACTCACCTTGAGTGCTCGAACGAAACCTATGTGGTCCGTGGTAGCTAGAGATATCGCACTTCCGTAGTTTTCTAGAGCACACTATGGCCTATCAAACACAGTAGTTTAAACTCCAACTTCGTTGAAATAGCTGGGAAGCTCGTACAGTTTTCTCTAGAGAAGGGGCGAGTACGAGTAATACTACAAAGTCTTTAAGTTCTACCAGAAACAGAATAAAACACTCACATGGAGCACATGTCGATCCCGAATATGCAGTCGATACCACTACAATCAATGACAAAGTAGCTAAATATATTATATTCATCATAGCGAGTGGAAGATACAATGCGAGTTATCTCGCATTTATATAGAACGCAAATCTGTGTATAGAAGAGAAGACAACCGATACAAAAGTGATTTGTGACAATTAAACACACATGATACCCATAACATAAGAACGTAATAACAGAACAGTAATTTTCATTTTATCACTGCTGTTACGTTCTTATGTTTATTAATTCTGTATTTTTCGTATTATAATTGTTGTTACAGTCTTATGTTTATTAAACTTTTGCCTATTCGAGAAGATAATGTTTATATGTGGTTCAGCTGTTGCAAACAAATGAAATTCAAATTAATTACCTCTTTTATTAGTGTTGGCTTCATTCCTACATGCAGGCAGACTTAAAACTCTAGTTAGAAAAAAGATGAGATTTGCGGTTTAACGCACTTTGGAATTTATGTCCGCGGAGTTGTCAAAGTGTAATGTCGAGGTAAAGAAAAACCTGGAAATGATTGGCAATATGTAGAATCGATAGAGCTTCGATTCTGCATAATAAATTGGTAATAAAATATTATTTGATGAGGACCTTGTTTGTACAGAAAATTCTATTATATTGTTGGCAATTGGGTTTTCTCACAAAATGACCAATGATATTTTCGATTTTGCCTTTTCGATAGGTCGATAAATAATACTCGAATCAAGCTCAAACTTTCGTCATGTTTTGACTATATGCGCTTGGTATGTGGTAAAAGCATAAATCTGAAATATTACACCATGGAGGAGAAGGATGAGAGATGGTCTTTGCTAGAAAAAATGCCACAATATGATTTTGACTGGAAATGTGAAGATATAAGTTAAATAATCCAGATTTCGACTATTCCATCGTAAAGAGCATCACTTTAAACCTATAAATCGACAAAAGAAAGTTGGCGACAAACACTCAAACCCAAAAAAAATTCAATTTACTCTCATTAGTGCCTGAGGGGGACCTAAGGCACAAATTTCGGACAAAATTTTTTTTACATTCGTTTAGATTACGAATATAGCATTGGTTTTGAATAGAAATTCTAGAAACTTCGCTCGATTGCTGAAGAGCGCCAAGGGAGTGAAGTTATGACGAAGGAACAGTTTTTCAGAACATCACATCATTCGATTCGGCTTTGCACATAGATTATGAATATCGTTTTTATTTTTAATAACGTTTTGTAAGCAGTTAGGTTTAATTGAAAAACGTTTCGTCGACTAAGAGTAAATTGAATCTTTTTTGGGTTTTGAGTGTTTGTCGCCAA